AAATTACCTCTATTAGCATATCGAAGAAAGAGATGCTTGGTTTTTTGATTGATAGACGTGTGAGTAAAAGTCACTATGCTTTGTTAAGTTTAGAACTTACGATAGCTGCATGTAGGTCCCAGGATGACGTCAACGTTCATGTCACGTATCATACTGATTGTATGTCCTACGGCCATTGTCTCGTCACATTGATCGAACATCACCGTGAAGCTGAAGACGTATCTCACCATACAGGTTAACAATTCATGAAAATTTAAATAGTATACTAGCTTCCTTGCCAGGTCACTTTGATTGCTTTTTCTAAAACTAAGGCTTCATTTTATTCCAGTGTTACTTCATAAAACTCAGATATCTATGTAGGTGAAGCAAATTGGAAAAATGCTTTTTTAAATCAAGAACAGTGTACCTTATAAGTGCCAAACCACGTCTAGCCTTCGGGCTAAAAAAGAACATAAGCATTCCCATATGCAAAGTGTGTGAAAACCATATGCCGTTTTTCGTTTTCGTGGAGGCTGTTTCATATTCTTGTAGTTATGATACTTCTTTTGAACCTCTCTTTTCAACCATATATCGCCGACGTAAAATGAAAAGGACTTATTCCAAATAGTCTGTCCAACCCCATCTATCCTAGTGGAGCTTACGCATGAAAGTTGCACATTTCGGCCAAAATATTATAAACTTTTTCAAACAGATTGATTTAGCCCAGGACGAACATGATGTTTATTATTGCGCTGCAGCGTCTAGCCCATTTTCTTCTAAAGAGTGTCAAGCTGATGGCATTTGGACCAGCATATGTGACAGATTTTTCCAGTATATTTGTCACTTACAATTCCTTAGAAAATCATTTCATTGGACAAGTTAAAATAACACTTTTACGACCGACGAATACTATGCTCCCTTTACACAATCTGTTTTAAAGGAGTTCTCTCGTAGACGTCTGGTACTAATGTCCCAGCAAATATTAGTCATGAATTGTAGACGCCAACTATAGGTCGTAATCTGCTAATAGGTCGTAATCTATCAATCTAACCAGTACTCCTGCAAGGCCGTGCGAACCTCGTGCAACGCTTCAACCCAAAACCATAATGAATCTATTCACCTCGATTATAGTTTTCCAAAAATTTGTAAGGGTGTCACGAATCATGCAGTCGACTAACAACAACATTAAAGCATAGATGCAGGCAAATGGAAAAAGAAGCCGGAGTGAATTACGGGACAAAGAAAAATAGCTACGTATATCTTGCTAGCTACTTATTGAGAATCCTTTCGTTCAAACTCACTTGAAGTCATATCCTGGAAGAAGTTGTTCATCTACGATGCGGTCTCTTGCAATCAAAACGGCTGACGCAGTCGTTCTGCAAACAACTCTTTTCAGTATATTACGAATTCCTATTCCCATTTTGGTAAATTCGCTCCTCGCAAAAAACCTAGCATGAATGTACCTATAGCCGGTTGTTATCTCAACTCCGGACCCTGGTGCTCCTTTCACCATAAGCATTCCGATATTTAGTGTCCGTGCAGTAGTGATATGCAATATAGCCTATAAAATCTAAAATGTTATACGCTTTGATTTGACTTTACAGTTCCTCCAATTATGACAGCATATTTTCGTTTCGTTCTTCCGAAACCTCCGGACTACAGCCTACAACTTGCACGAAAAAGGGGTGCTATAGATTTTGTGGCAAATGCATTGGGATGTCATTTATCGTTTCAATTTGCATTTTGTAAAGTTCTAGATTTATTCTAAACTGCCAAGAAACTAGATAGTCAAAAGCATAGATTTATCTAAAGCAATAAAATATTTAGACATGAATGCGATGGTTCAATCGTCGGAAGTGATACATACTAACTAGCTGACAGTCCATAATTCTGCTTACGGCATTCATCTCCTATGGTTCTGCAGTGTCAGATCATACATGAGGGCTCTCTTCTTTGGGATTCACTT